AATGGTGAGAGTTAAGGTAAAAGAAGGTGGAAACAAACAGCTAGAGTAGGAAGCTTCATGAGAATATGCTCCAATGGTGGACTCGGAAATAGATTAGAAAAGGAAATGCAGATCGACTCCTGAAGAAAGGATCAGAGTCGAATAGGAGCCCTCTTCTGTGTGAACCTCCTAGCTTAGAGGCATATGGCGGTCAAAAACCTGCGGAGAAAAGTCCTCATTCTTAATGACTCAGAGAGCTCGGACGAGTTTCCCTGCCAAACTGCTACTGTAGATACGGCCGCACGTGTGTACTCGTATATCGATGCAGCGCCGCGACCGCTACACGTCAATCCCTCCATATTTTACTTCGCTAATGAAGCAATGCGAGCATCAGGTATGGTCGTCCATTTGTGGGTGGGCGGACGCCGTGGGCGTTCGGTCGGTGTTGTAGCTTGATAGGGCCTTACAAGAGTACCTTTTTGAAAAGGCGCCACGCATCACCAGCTCAGGGGACGCGGAATTCCGCCCTGCCAGGCGTACTAATCCTATACTTCATAGGGGTCAGTGCGATTGCCTTCAAAGTGTCCCAAAGTAAGAAAAGTAGCCTAAAGGCCCTACTTTCCTTTGATTATTTTCCTCTCTTTCGTTTGAGTAGTAGAGCAGTCTGTTTAAACTGGCACGAATTGATTTCTTCCTCAATAACTGTCTTCGAAACTAGCAGAGCTGAAACTGTACGTGTGACAGTTGATAAACTTTTGTCATAAAGGGATTTCTCTATTTTTTCGAACTTTCCTTATCCAATCCCTCACTACTTTTCTGATTAGCCAGCCTCTACTGTTCCTTTTTCCTATCAAATCTGCTAAAAACGTTTGCAAGGTCTGATTTTCCGGAAAACAACAGTCAAGTTCAGAATTCCTATTTTAGAATTCGCACGCGCGACGACTGCGACGTCGTGCGTACTTTTGTCTAATGGCCGACTCATCTACCACATTTTATGGTGAAAAGTGCTTGTGAAGGAACGTACATCAGACCGCTATTAGATTGAGTATATTTCACAGAGGAGGCCCGTTGGTGCTTAGTTTGCAAGTAGCGCGCCCTTCACGCAACTCAGAAAGAAAAGTGAGACTTAACACAGGAGAGTCGTTCAGGTCAGTTGCTGAGACTTTTTCAAAAAATAGTTTGTTGCATCATGTAGGGCCACACAGATGGGGTTCATTTTTGCCAAATGGTATTGGAATGCCAAAAAATGGCGAAAAGAGTAGGCGATTTTAAGCACCTTACTCAGCTCCGTTCTAGCGGATCGTTGAGAGTGTATAGCTTATGAGGTAGACTTTGAGTAGACATGAAAATCAACGCAGACGAAGTCAAAATTCAAGTTTCCCATGGCATGCGGTGAGCTACATTGAAGCTTCATCGTTCATCCTGCATTGCTTCTTCCAGTGGTCCTCCCGCTATCTCACCCCGTCGAGTGCGCGGATGGTGTCGTGGACAGGTGTGCGGACTCTCAATCCACGTGGTGTCGAGTTAATGTTCTTGATTTGACCTTCTTCGCGTTGTTTTCATCTGCATTAAAATTCACCTCATAAACGTGCGACACTCTCAAACCGATAACAGCCAGAACGGGCTGGAGTAAGGTGGCGGGTTCAATGCGGTTCATCCTTTTCGGATTTTTTCGACCTTTTTTTTGGCATTCCCAATACCGTTAAGCAAAAATGAACCCTATCGGTGTGGTCCTTGCGTGGTCGCCGACATCATGCAACAAACGGTTTTCAGGACAAGCTCACCACGACATGAACGGCCTCCTTTGTAAGGGCAGATTCCGTATCAGGTCCCGCTCCGGCCAACCAGGAGTTTTACCCTCCAAGGACGCAGAGTTGGTGCCCGATCCGTTTGGGGGATATGAACACTGACTGACTGACTTATATAGTCTTATTCTCAAATGCCTCGCGGTTATATAGATGACGCTGCTGGTCAGTAGCTTGGTCCTGCGCGCTGCTTAGGTGTTGAAGCGTGTAAGAGCTGGAAATGACTGGTACGAACGATATGATATGGTTTCACCCTTCCCCATGACTAAAAAGATGGCTGGCGCTGCGCCAAACCCATTCCCCGAAAGCACTGTTGTCGGAGGAACTTTGCACTTCACATGCCGAGGTCTGTCAGAATCTATGCCGAACAAAGCACCCCTCGTAAAAAACTACTCTGATAAATAAAATGCTTGGTTGCCCTCTAGCTGGATTCATCAGAAAACCTTTCGATTAACTAACTGTCGTGCTAGCCAATGCCAATACAAATGTTACAGCGAACAATCGAAGTGGCGAGAGAGAATGCGATAAAAACTTACGGCGAATGACCACGGGAGAAGCCATGTAAGGGAAACGAATATAACGTAAGAAGCAGTTCTGGTAACACCACATGTGCGGCATGCAAACAGATAAATTAAGAACTGCAGGGCGACCACTTCAACAACTAACTTCTTTCCCTGGTTCCTTCTTCTCCTAGGAAACGGAGCTGAATTGCTTTTTAAATCTCTAATGACCATTACCGGAGGTTGCCGGCTCCAAGGATTCGTAAAAACGTAAGATGGTGAATCCATTCGCCCCTTCCTGTCCCTTTGCGGTGAATCCATGTTCATCCGAAACACGCCTTTAGGCGCAGTTTGTCGACGGGGCAGGGGGGGGGCACTTTGCTTCCCATAGATGTGTCGACCCATCAGGGACCGTTCCTCGAGTTGACACGTTTTAGGATAGTGGCTAGACGATCTTGCTTAAGCTTCACAAGAGTTCACAAGTTTTAATAAAGTGAGACTTGTATAAACCGGAACTAGGGAACCAGTGATAGTACAAAATGCCCCCCCGTCGACAAACAGCGCCCATGCCTTTATATCGTCTGCAATGTGCAGCATCGTTGGAACCAACAGGAATCGGGCTCCGTCGCTGGGAGGTATGTAAGTCGTTTTCGGATATGATGGAGGTCATATTTTGGACTTGATGGAAGTCAGCAATATTCCAGAACTTTATTCAGGCAATCGCGATATTGCCTATAGCCGTCTTTTACCAGACTGGACGTTTCAGCAGTATTTGCCTTCTCGGAGCCTCGCCAGAATCACAACACCTGATTTTTCGACACAACTGCCCGAGTCTCAATTACAGATAAGCATGAGAATGGAAAGTCTTTCCAGCTGCGAGTACCTTTCCGGCTGTGCAATTAAAACACTAATGTTTTGAAAAACTGCGGGAAGTGGTAATAAGATTCGGAAAATACGAAACAGATTGGTGGGTAATAATAGAAAAAGGGATTAGTGTGGGAGATATGTATTCAGGGGCTGGGGATATATAAGAAAAAGCCAGTGCACATCAAAAAGCCTGCTATCCCTGAACTTTTATTGTAAAATGCACGGTAGCGAGGAAAAAGGTCGGCGTCCCGCTCGTGAGTTCACAACGTACTGGGCATCACATGGATGAGCATTTTGAAACTTGGCAGGGCACATTATGGGGACTTTTTCCCATTACAACGCCTCCATTTTTTCAACGGCGCTTGCCGTACGGGTGGAGCACACTCCCCTGCTATTCCTGTCCCGATTCCCTCCCCCTCATCAGGCTGTCAAGCGGGAACGGGGGCGGGACGATTATATTACACACGAAACAGGAAAAACGAAAAGTCAGCAACTTCTAAGGGAAATACGACCCCCCCCCCCCTCCTCCCAACAACGGGCAAATATAATACGACTCCCTCTCCTTACAACGTCTCTGAAGCAATTGTAATCAAATTTGAAAATAATCTTTCTTAACCCGATCAAATACGACTCACCTCTCCCAGCGACCCTATATGACCCCCTATAAGTGGGTAGGGTAATTCTCAAAACGATATGCCCTGACTCTGAATCAGTCAAATCCGATTATATGGATCGCTGTATCTAAAACATAATTTAAAGTGCAGCCGACTTAACGCTCATGCAACAGGGTAAACTCAAAAAGGGGTGCTACGGGTCTGTGCCCCGAACTCGACCCGCTTACTTTGAAAAAAGCAAAAGCAAACATTATGAAACAGATGGCCGCTGCTGTACGCTATTTTTCAGCTGTACTACTGATAGACTGACGCTCGACTGGCGAGAGCAAACTGAATGCGAAAGGAGGCCCCTTATAGGAGCCGTAAATGTACAAGTGGAAGTTCTTTTGTTCTGCCGAACGAGCGCTGGACTCATCACGGTGTGGCTTTCATGTTTCGGACTTCTCTGAACGGACTTGTGGTCTTCTGTGTGGGTATATTCACATATTCACATACAGCATGAGATCACAAAAAAGGGTAAACATTGAAGGAGCTCGATATCTTGGCAGATGTGAGGTCTCCTTCATGCATAGGAGGTCGAGAGTTCGAGTTCTTGATGCGGTTGCTCTTTCAGCAATGCTCTTTGTTCACTTTAGGAACACTTCTGCATGGATCTGATTTCAGCGAAAGCAAATGTTTCTAACAACTGAAATCATATTGAGAAAAAATCAGTCATGAACCGCTTTGGCTGCTAATTTCTATAATACTAATTCAAAACTGCGAAATTAGTTGAAAGCTTGCACCCACTACTGATTTGAAGCATTGCTCTGGTGTTAAAAAATGAAGACGTGTTCGTGCGGTGGAGATTTCATGCATTAAAGTTGAGCCAAATGACACTGGAATTAAACAAGGATTCTGTATCTGTGACCAGTGCCACTTATTACCCCCTCCCCCACTGGAGGAAGGCCAACGAGTAAAGTTTTCGCCCAGCGACATGTCCGAAGACAATAGCAACCAGTGGAATACTGTCCACTCACGATTACTCCTCTTCTTCGATCTAAATCAGCTGGAAATTGTTCCCTTGAGATTACAAGACCTTCCGTACACGAACGGCACGCTTGTTTCACGAAAAAGCCTACCGCGTGCGATACGGGGTCTAGAACACCGTAGCATCTTACCGTTGGAAGTTGCATGAATATGAGGACGCTAGGTATCCAGCGAGGGGAAAAGCGCAAGAGATCCACGAAACACGCGAAATGGATCTCTCACCGGAGATGTCACTAGAGGCCATTTTCGAAACGGTACGCTACATGTTGCGAACTTCATGTGGGGGGGGGCACTGCTTCTGAGAATGTCGATAAAGGGAGAAAAAAGACTTTTCGAGTTCGCGACGATGTTAAGGACAGAAAGCTTTCTTGATTTTGAAGAAAAGATTTTCGCGTTTCCGGGTATGTTTCTCTTCCCAGAAAAGCTTTCGACTTATATGAATACTAGGAAGTAAGAACTGTAGAAAGGTGAAATTTTGCTGCCTAGAGTATTCGCTCTGGAGTACGCGGAACTTAACTTCAGCAAGCAACAAGCCATTTAGAAAATGAGAGTCATGACCTGGAAAGATCCCTCCCCGTCTCGCTTGTGAGAGTTTCAAATAGGAAAGAAGGGTTGGGAAGATAAGGATATAGAAAAGAAACGAAATCGAAAACAAATCGATCCGTTGTGATGGCGATGATGTCTCCAAAGCCTTAAAATGATGCCGAACACTTTTTTTGCTGTGGTCAATCCGATGACGGGTTAAAGGACAGCTTATGACGCGCCATGAATTCCTAGCACTTAACTTTCAGGAAACGTTGTAAACTAGAAAAGATAAAAGTTTACGTTCTCTGTAAGTATGGGGAGATGTGGGATGGCTCCCTTTTGGTAGATCTGTTGAGAAACCAGTCAGTTTCACATGAAAGTAGGACTCCATCAGAGAAAAGAGCTAATAGAGGGATTAACAGTCGTTGGATTTTGGCATATGTATAGTTTGTAACATTGCAATTTGTCGGGGGCGGCGAGCGCAGCGCGGCACGAGCTCGCGTCCGGCTGCCTTGCTCTACCAATGGTGATCGAGCAATGATCGATGTAGGAAGGAATCAGCCACTGGTGGGAAGGCCGCAGGTGGGAACCGCTGATTGCGACCCGACAGTCCGCAATGATGAGGACTGTACTTCATAGCACTAGAACAACCCTTGCCCTCAAATCTTAAGATTACGACCCGTGGTTTCCTTCTGCGAGAGGCACTGTCTCGTCTTGCCTGTCAAACAACACGACATGAGAAGTATTGTGATTGAAATAATCGGACATTTCAGATTGACACGAAGAAACCATGGGCACTTACATTCTCGTATGGTCGAGCTCTACAGGCATCAGCCATGTCAAAATGGGGCGGAAAGGACGAGAACGTCAAGGCAGCTCAGGTAAAATAGGACTCCTCTGCCAATTTCAGCACAAAACACAAACAGTAACCTCCTCCCCCTCTAAGACAGTCGACAACTGCGAGGGAGCGATT